TGCACATTAAATTTTTTTATTTGTTTAGAATAGATAGTACATTCACAAGGTTTAACTCCCAAAGTCAAAGAATGTATGGGAAAAAGTTTTCTTTTCCTTGTTCCACATCTACCCTTTGCTCCTTCTGTACCAGCAAGCACTGTTCTTAGTTTCCTATGTTTCCTGACAAATATTATTGATGCATTTGTAAGAAAATATGAATGCATAACTTTTTCCCCTTTTTATGCAATTAATAGCATATATATACACATACATACATAGTATTTATATCAGTCAGGGTTCAACTGAGGAAGCAGAGCCACATAAGTATTGTGGAATAAAAGATTTATTATAGGACTGAGACCTTATACAATTGTAGATGAAGCTGAAGAAGTAAGAGTGGATTCTGAGGAAGATGGCGGTAGAGGAGGAGGACCCTCGGCTCACCTCCTCCCATGAACACAACTAGATAACTATCAAATCATCCAAAATACCCCAGAAATCAACCTAAAGACTGACATTACAAACTCCACAACTAAAGGGAGAGAAGAGTGGGGCGCCTGGGTGGCTCAGTCATTTAAGTGTCTGACTTTGGCTCAGGTCTTAATCCCAGGGACCTGGGATCAAGCCCCACATTGGGCTCCCTGCTGAGTAGGAGAGTCTTCTTCTCCCTTTCTCTCTGCCCCTACCCCTGCTTGTACTCGCGCTGTCTCTCTCACTCTCTCTTTCAAATAAATAAATAAAATCTTAAAAAAAAAAAAAATGGGAGAGAAGAGGCTACATCGAAGAGGGAGCAGGAGACATAACTGGCTTTTGTAACACAGAGAAGCAGGCAGAGACTAAGACAAAATGAGAAGACAGAGGAATTTATACCAAATGAAAGAACAAGATAATGCTGCAGCTGGAGATCTAAGCAAAACATATAAGTAACACACCTGATGGAGTATTTAAAGCAGTGATCATAAGGATACTCACTGGGCTTGAGAAAAGAATGGAAGACATCATTGAGAACCTTACTACCAAGATAAAAGAGTTAAAAAGGAATCAGACAGGGGCGCCTGGGTGGCTCAGTACGTTAAGCATCTGCCTTCAGCTCAGGTCATGATCCCAGGATCTTGGGATTGAGCACTGCATCGGGCTCCCTGCTCAGCAGGGAGTCTGCTTCGACTTCTCCCTCTGCCCCTCCCCCTCCTCATGCTCTTTCTCCCCCTCACACTCTCTCTCTTAAATAAATAAATAAATCTTTAAAAAGGAATCAGACATGAAGAGTGCAATATACCAGATTAGAAACAGGCTTGATGCAATGAACAGCAGGCTGGAAGAAGCAGAGGAACAAATTAATTACCTAGAAGACAGTAATGGAAAGCAATGGAGCTGAACGAGAGAGAATAGATTTAGGGAACTCAATAACTCCATCAAACATAATAATACATAAGTATTATAGAAGCCCCTGGAAGAAGAAGAGAGAGAAAAGGGGGGCAGAAAATGTATTTGAAGAAATAATAGCTGAAAATTTCCTTAGTCTGGGGAAGGAAACAGACATCCAGATCCAGGAGGCACCATAAAACTCCCATCGAAATCAACAAAAGCAGATCCACACCGAGACATACTGTAATTAAATTTGCAAACTTAATGATAAAAAATTCTTAAAATGGCAAAAGAAGTCAGTAACTTACAAGGGAAAACCCATAAGGCTAGCAGGAGATTTTTCAACAGAAACTTCGCATGCCAGAAGGGATAGGCATGATATATTCCAAGTGCTGAATGGGAAAAATCTTCAGCCAACCATACTCTATCCAGCAAGGCTATCATTCAGAATAGAAGGAGAGGTAAAGAGTTTCCAGACAAGTTAAATGAATTCATGACCACCAAACCAGCCCTACAAGAAATACTAAAGTGGAACGGGGAGACCAAAAGTGACAGAATAAAAGGCAGAAAACACAAAAGCAGTAAAAAAGTATTTTCATAAAAAAGTCCAGCAACTCACCAAAAAAAAGATATGAAATGTAATAACATATACTTAAAACATCGGGAGGGGAGGAGAAAAGAATGGGTTCAAACTTAAACGACCACCAACTTAATTTAGACTGCTGTATGCAGAAAAGGTTATATACAAACCTAATAGTAGCCATATATCAAAAACCACTAATAAACATGCAAAGAATAAAGAGAAAGAAATCCAAATATATCAGTAAAGAAAATCAGCAACACACAAAAGAGAGAAAGACAAGAAAGGATCTAGAAACTTATTGATGGACCTTTATGTAGTTTTCATCTTTTGCTATAGTATATACTGTAGTGTTGAATAGTCTTGAATATGTGTCACTTAGGAAGTCTATGAGTATATATGTAAGAAAAATACCTGGAAGTGGAAGACTGTGTCAAAGGGTATGTGGATCAAAAATTTAAATTTTGAAGAAGAAAAATATTAAAAGTACTGAAAGACAATCTAAAGAGAAATATTTTTATAACCTTGGATTGAGAAAGAACTTTCTAACTATAACATAAAACCCAGAAGCCATAAAAGAAAAGATTGATATAAAAAATAATGTTCTACACAGCAGAACCTGTAATACAAATACTAATTTTTTAAACTAACAAGTTTTCAATGAACAATATTCTAATAGAAACTTACTTTTTTTGTAAAACAAATTCCAAGCCTGATTTCCAATTTTATAGATTTTGAGGTTATGATTATCTGTACATGCTTGGTCATTAACATGTCCATGCTTCATTAGGAAAAAGAAGAGAAGAGATTCTGTTTAGTTTTGCTTACTTGCTTCCTTTCCTCTTTACTTCCTCCCCTACCTCCCTCCTTCCTTCCTTCCTTCCCTTCCTTCCTTGGACTTCTAAGCAAATACAGTAATACAGTTTTGAAAGTTAAAATGGGGGTGCCTGGGTGGCTCAAGTCAGTTAAGCATCTGACTCTTGGTTTCAGCTTAGGTTGTGATCTTGGGGTTGTGGGATCAAGCCCCCCATTGTGCTCCATGTTCAGCGTGGAGTCTGCTTGAGATTTTCTCTCTCCCTCTGTCCCTCCCCCCATTCCCCTGCTCAAATAAATAAATCTTTTAAAAAATAAAGTGGAAAAAGAAAACATACAATAAGAAAGTCATTGGATTACCAGATGATCTTTGTCCATTTCCTACTAGCTATGCAACTTTGTGAATATTATTATGAGACCTCCTTAAAGAGAGCAACCACCTCATATTTAATTTTTTTTGTTGTTTTTTCAGGTTACAACTTTTTATTGTTATGTTAATCACCATACATTACATCATTAGTTTTTCTCATATTTAATTTTTTTTCCCTCTGTAGTGACTAGATCAGTACCTAGTACAAAAACATTTGTTAATCTTATCTCTAGGATTCAAATTCCTCATTTATAAATTTTGGCTGCCAAGTTTACTCATGCTGTTATTGTGAGGATAACATGATATAAATAATATATGTGTAGAGAGTTTGTTAGCCATAGATAATTGATAAGGACTTGTCTTTTTGAAGGGGATTAAGCTTTCGGGAGAAATACTGTTATTGATCTAGTAGCAACATTATGACTCAGTTCCTGTCATGGGGTCAGGAGACATGGACTCTACCACCTCACTGTGACATTCCAAATAAGCTATGCCTTCTAGAGTGCAGCTTCCTCTTCTGGTAACTTTGGAAAGTGTAAAGCCATATGCAAATGTGAGCTACACCTTCAGTACAAAGAAGGCCCTGTTGACATAGATGACTTTTAGAACTCAAAGTGTTCTTTTGTCTGTTCCCATTAACTCAGCACACATTTGCTGAAGTGTGCAAGATACTATGCTGGGTGCTATATCCCATTTTACTATATCAGCTCTTCTCTAATGCAATTGGCTGCCCTTACTTGAATTTTTCATTGATTGAATTTCTGTGATAACTGTACTAAAGGACATCCTTGAAAAAAGTTTAAACACATGGCTAATTATGACTATGGCTTATTTGATTTAGATGAGTGACCTTATGCTGTACATAACAAAATGTCACATTTAAGGCTAATAAGATTTTAAAACAAAAATTTTCTTTTTTAGTGCTTTTTGTTTTTATTCTTTGACAGCTGAGATCAGCTGATTTTTTTTTAAGATTTTATTTATTCATTTGAGAGAGAGAGAGAGTGAGAGCATGAGCAGGGAGGAGAGGGAGAATCAGGCTCCCCACTGAGCAGGGAGCCCGACATGGGGCTCAATCCCAGGACCCTGGGATCATGACCTGAGCTGAAGGCAGACGCTTAACTGACTGAGCCACCCAGGTGCCCCATAGCTGATTTTTTACTAGATTTTCAAAACGTAATTTTTAGATCTCTGGAAACACACGCTACTCACAGAAGAAGATATTGAATCAAAGAATTTAATCTTTTACCCTTTCAATCATTCTCTTAACTTAATGCCCTCTCAAACATGATATTGAGGCCTAAACAGCTATATTCTGTGTCTTTTCCCAACAGGGATAAATAAAAGTTGGTATGCTAAGGGGAAGGTGTATGGGAGCGGAAGAGTTTTAGGATAATTGTATTTTTCTTTATACCTTTGTATTTGCAAATTTGATATACTGTGTATTTTTTTCTGTGTTAAACAGGAAAACAATCACCAATTAAAATGGCAGGACCACAGATAAATTATAGATAAGCATTTTGATAAGCATGATAATCAGATTGATTCTAAACCTCTCTACTAGTTTTTAACCTATGGCCTAAATTTTTTTGTTTCTATCTAATGAAGATTATTGTTATTTGTAACCTTATTTGTAGCATTTTGACTTCCAAGCATGTAACAGTAGATGTTGGCTTCAAAATTTTCAAGTTGCCTAAATATGAATTGACTTTCTAGGATTTGTAGATACCTCTTTTTTGAAAAGAACTATCACTTTCCTTCAGTAGAACACTGATGGTGGGGTCCCGTAGCAAATGCATCTATCTTGTTTTTATTGTTGTCTAATAACCCTGGGAATAGTAATGCTCTATCTAAGGCAAACTTTTAAAAAATGTAACCCCTTTTTTTCAGACCTCTTAAGCCATGAAAACGCAGCAACCCTGAATGATGTAAAGACACTCGTCCAGCAGCTGTACACCACTCTGTGCATCGAGCAGCACCAGTTAAACAAGGAAAGGGAGCTTATTGAAAGATTAGAGGATCTCAAAGAGCAACTGGCTCCCCTGGAAAAGGTGCCGATTCAAATCTCAGACTTTCCTCTTCAACAGTAATTTTCTAGAGCATATATGTTTGCGTCTCCCCCCGCCCCATCTTTTTTGGTAATTGAGTTGTGTCAGTCAAACTAGTCCTTTAGTTTTGGGGTCTGAACATAAAAAAAGTCCAATTAAAGCTAAGAAAAAACTTAAAAAGGAATAGTTTTGAGTCTTCATAATGGGCATAGAACTTTGAGCTCTAAATGTCTGCCCTTACCAGATTTACCACCTTTGCAACAAAAATTGAAATAATTACTGATTGAGAAAAGTTATATGTGTAGTGGATAATGATTTTGGCCAAGTTAAGAATCAATATTATATGGAATATTATGCAGCTGTTAAAAATGATTATATAGACCTAATATGCAATAGAAGAATATTATTATATTTTATGCAAAGTAAATTATAAAATAGTGTGCATATGTATATACTATGATCTAATTTTTAAATGTGGTGTGCATATAGCTATGCATATTTATATATATGTATATGTAAACCACAGGAAAAATGTCAGAAGAAATATATTCCAAAATGCTAATGGAGTGGTAGGATGATGATTGATTTTCTTCTTCACATTTTTCCAGATGTTTTATAGTAAATGTGTCATTCTTGTTTTTTAATGATGATGCAAATATTTTCATTGTAAGGAATTAGACTATCAGAGGTTAAGAAAGGGAACAAATACTCTTCATATTGTGCTTTTTCTCATTTCCTTAAAAATAATGAACTTGTATCTCAAGGTTGTTCTCATTAAATTTAAGACCATTAGAAATGTGATAAACTTGAACTGTTGTGAAGGAGAATGAGATTTAAATTTGGTATTTTCAAGATGTAAAAAAGCATTTTTTTAATGTACCAGCTATAATAAAATAATTGTTCTTTTATTGAATACTTACTGTGTGCTGGGAATTGTGCAAGTATTTTACCTGTATTCCATTATTTAGTCCTCAGAATAACTCTGTAGTGACACTGATGACGATACACGGCTCAGGGCCTGAACACAGCTGTTCTGAATCCAGAGTCCATGCTCTGACTCACTGTACTATCTGCCCTCTGGCAGACCCCTTGAGTAAACAATGATGATAGATTACATCTTGTATACTACAGTTAAGAGAACACTGGCATGTTTTCATATCCCTCCCTCAAAAAAGATAATTGTGTAGTTGGATGAAGAGTTGTTGACACTGACTTACTCCTGTAGTTTCACCATATTTTCATCTACTTCTAGGGTGAAACATAAAACACAAGTGTCCTAAGAAAAGTGTTACTCCTATGAAATATTCAGTGAAAACTACAGACAAGCTACGTTTACTAGAATGGAGACTAACATGTCTTGATTATGAGCCCTATTTCTTCCATGAACGTAAAACAGTTTAAATTTAAAATTGGTTCTCTGTCAAAATGCCATATTGTTGATTGATTATGTGTGCCCTGTAGGTACGAATTGAGATTAGCAGAAAAGCTGAGAAGAGGACCACTTTGGTGCTATGGGGTGGACTTGCCTACATGGCCACACAGTTTGGCATTTTGGCCCGGCTTACCTGGTGGGAATATTCCTGGGACATCATGGAGCCAGTCACCTACTTTATCACTTACGGAAGTGCCATGGCAATGTATGCATATTTTGTAATGACACGCCAGGTAAGAATTCCTCTTCTAGAAACTTTTAATGAGATGCTAATGAAGTTTTGGTTGTCAAAGTAGTTCTCTTTTCTCTTGTATTCTTTCTAAGGCCAGTTCCCTTTAAGTACCCATTTATCCTACACACACACACACACACACACACACACACACACACACACTCGTATGCACACGTGCACATGGCATGCTAATTGTGTATTAGGCCCTATTCTAGGTGTTAAAGGTAGGGAGGTAAATCAGGGTTCCTGACCTCATGAACCTCACAGACTATAAAGTGAGCCATATAAACCATTAAATTCAGAAAAAAAAAAAATTTTACATTAAGTTACAGAATAAGAGGGCAAAGGGAGAAGAATGATCTGCTTCAGGATAGCTTGTTCAACCAAGTTGGCTTGGCTTTTTATGTACTATGTAATTAATTTAACAGTTGGATAGGGTAGTCTCAAGCTTTTTGTTTTTATTGAATTCTTGGAATGGAAAGTTGGTGATAACTAATCAAATAGTTAAACTCAACTCTGGGCTATTTCTAAGTATGCTTAGAGTATAGGTAGGCTTCTTTGTTACTGTTTTTGCTTCATGGAAGAGAGATGAAAATTATAGATATCTAATCACTTTATGTGCCTGGCCTATTCTCTAGCAGCCAAGACTCATTTACTAAATAGCACTATCTGGAACTAATTTTTGTTGCCAGTGTTACTTTTAAAGTAGCTTGAAAATCCCTGTGTCACTTTAAAAAGTAAGAAGGATTTATTATCACTTATTATTATCTGTTTGATACCAACACAGATCCAACTTCCCTTGATAAAAAACATTTGCAGTAAGTGAGACATGAGAACCTTTTTCTATTTTCTTAGGTATCAAAAGAAAGCTGAGAATTGCTTCTCTTATATTTTTATATGGCTGCGATTGACATAGGCATTTTGTTTCTGTTGTTGTTAGACCACTGGTCACGGCCTATTTATGTGTGAGAAAATGAAAGCCCAAGAATGGTATTTAACCTTCCTGGGCCTCCCAAACTTGTCTAGGAGAGAAGAGAGACAATAAACTGTTCATGTCCTGCCATTGTTTGCCCAGAGTATCCACCTAGTCCCATGTCTGGCTCATGCGCAACAGAACTGAACAACCAGATGAGTCATGTCTAATCACAGCTCTGGACATGGCTTTGCTGTCTGTCTGTCTTTGTTTCTTTCCTTCTCTCTTCTCTCTTCCCTGTTCCTGTCCCTTATATACACACCCCTTTAATAGGTTCTTTTTATCTATTGATTGAAGTCCAAACTCCTTAGCCTGATATTCATAACTGGTTGCTCTCTGTCTTCTCCACAGGTCTGTCAGTTCCCTACAGTATACTTACTATGTGTTCTAAACAAATCAAATTGTATTCTTTATTCCCCCAAATGCCCTGAGTTTTCTACCACTTCATTCCTAACTTCCCATCATTCTATCAACGGGGAGAGTTCTCCCTCTTGATCTCTACCTGTTATATTTCAAGGTTTCTTAAATGCTTATCTTTCATGAACCTTTGGCCAGTTCCCTACAGCCAACTTAGAACTCTCCTTCTGAATTCCTGTAGCACATTGTGCCTCTGATTTCATTCATCCTATGCTATCTTGTATTATAATTATTCACATATAATGTCTTCACCCTTCTACTAGACTGTAATGTCTTAGGAGGTGAGACATTCAGGTTTTTTTTTTTCAATTTTTATTTCCCTTTAGCTACTATTAATCCATTATTGTCATCATCAGTAACTCAATATTCACTTCTGCTTCTTATATGACATACTAGGCATCAGACCAATCCTCCCATTAGGAAAAGTTAGAATAGTTAGATAAAACATTAAATACATTTGCCTATAAACACTAGAGAACTTATAAGATAGCAAAAATTACCATGCAAGGACCTGAAGAAGAATTCCAGGAAGGTGAACCTGGTGTCAGGTATGCTTACTCCTCTGGGGATTTATGCTGACTAAGCAGGGTAAGATGGAGAGACTAAGAAGCTGAGCCATACTTGATGATCTAGGACCAAAACCATAGAGATTGCGTTGGTTTGGAACCTCTAATGGCTACCATTGTAGAATAAGGATGAACTTGTTGTAGGTTCTCTCTGAACTATAGCCCAACTTCATTCATCTCAATTCCATAAATTAGACTAAGGTATTCCTAAAATAGTGGTAATCCCACACTGCTAGTGCTCATAGATGCCAGGCAGAAGCAAACATAAATTATCCCTGGAGGAGAGGGCAAGAAAAAAATGTAAAGATTGGAAAGAAAGAAAACTGATGTTATTCAAAGATTTTTGTACAGAAAAAAATACAAAAACATGTATATATATTTGGTTAGAATCCATAAGTAAGTTTCATAGGGTTACTGGATACAAGGTCAGTATACATAAATCAATTGCCAACAACAAAAAATTATAAATGAGACTTTAAGAGATGCAACTTAAAATGACTTTTAAATATATCTAGAAGTAAATTGTGCAAAAGATGTGCAGGACCTCTATGCAGAAAAACATAAAATTAAAGGAAACTTCTAAGCATGTTCATGAACTAGAAAAATAAATACTAAAACATGTCAGTTGTATACAAATTGATCTGTTAGATTCAGTGCAATCCCAGTCAAGATTCCAACAATTTTGGGGATGGGGCGGGGAAGAGATTTGAATAAGTTGCTTCTAGAATTTCAATGAAAATGTAAAAGATTTGGAAGGATATGGATACAGGATATGGAAGACTATAGCTTTATTTATGAAACTACAATAATTGAGACAGTGGCACAAAGACAGTCCAATGGAATAGATGAGAAAATGTAGAAACAGACCTGGTATAAATGAACTTTTGATTTTAAAACGATAGCGCTGCAAATAAAGAAGAGTCTTTTTCTACGAATGGTGCTGGGACAGTTGAATATCCATATAAAAAAAATGAAACAACCCCATCCTTACACATCCTTAATTAACAAAAATTAATTCCAGATGGATTATAGATCTAAATATGAAAGGTTACACAATAAAGCTTCTGGAAGAGGGGCACCTGGCTGGCTCAGTTGGTAGAGCATACAGCTCTTGATCTCAGGGTTGTAAGTTCAAGCACCATGTTGGGTGTGGAGATTACTTAAAAATAAAATCTTTTTAAAAAATAAAATAGGGATGCCTGGGTGGCTCATTTGGTTAAGCTTCTACCTTCAGCTCAGGTCATGATCCCAGGGTCCCAGGATTGAGTCCCACATCGGGCTCCCTGCTTGGCGGAGAGCCTGCTTCTCCCTCTCCCTCTGCTGCTCCCCCTGCTTGTGCTCTCTCTCTCTTTCTCTGTGATAAATAAATAAAATATTTATTAAAAAAAA